TTTTATAACAAAGCCATATTGGGCTATCTGCTGTATACCCAAGAGGAATCGACCCCCGAATTTTAGCATTGCAAGTCTGTAGACTTACTGCTGTTCCACCAGTGGACCACGAAACGAAAACGTAACTTATTTCAGGAAAAAGTATAGGAATGCAAATTTGATAATAAGGTAAGATAGAAAAAAAGAATACTTGAAATTCTAATAGGTTCTACTGGGCCAATTATATTATTTTTATTGCTATTCTAGTTGGCTCACTGGCCTCCTAACTGGTCAGATCCGACTAAACGACGCAAATGTCGAACCCTATTATAACACTCGTAACAACTTTCTAACAATTCCATACACACACACAACTACTTACACAAATTAAAGGATAATGAGGTTTGTTTAAATTTGTATATTTTTAGGTGATCAATATATTTTTTTCAAAGTTAGCATGCTTATTGTTAAGGCTTATATTAATCCTACCTAGGGTTTACAAGTTTATGCACAAATGATTCCTTATATAAAAGGCCTTTATGAGAAATGACCCACATTCTGAAAAGCAAAAGGCTAGGTTTTACTGATTAGGAAAGTATTTACTGTTGAGATAATGCTAGGATTATGGATTTTTTATGCTGGTATTGAGTTTTGCAAAAAGTGTAAAAGCTGTTAGAAATCGATTAACTGAAACTGCTTTAGGAAGGCCGCACTCAGAATGAAGTGGCACGGATCATGGGAGAATCACACTTCGTTGTCATTAGATTTTGGTGCAGATACCAGGCCACAGGAAAATACACCAGGAGGCCAGTTCAGGTCGCAGACGAGCTTTCACGTGAAATAGACGACCGATATCTGTGGAATTTAGCCCTTAGAAACCGCAACAGCAACACTAGGGGCCTCAGGAACGAGCTTCAACAAACAACTGCATTGCGTGTATTGGGCTCAATGGTCCAGATACCAGTTGGAGCCCCTTTACTAACCCCAAGGCACCGAAAAGCGCGGCTGGCGTTTGCCCAGGAACATGTCACATGGATCCTTCAGCAATGGACCCCTATACTGTTCACAGGTGAGAGTAACTTCTGCATATCTTCAAGTGATCGACGTGTGCGGATCTGGAAACGTGAAAGTGGATGATATTCGGCTTGTAACATCGTCCACCATGATGTGTTTAGAGTGGTTCAATCATGGTCTGAGGTGGCATCTGCATACAGGGGCATAAAGACATCTATGTAGTGGATGAAGGATCCTTTACAGCAAGTCATTACGTGGATGAGTTTTGCTACAGATTATTTGCATTTTTGCTGGTACTGTCAGAAATGAGTTCGTGTATCAACAGGATAACGCCCGTACTCACACCGCCAGGATCATGCAGCATTTTTTCAGGATGAAGGAACAGATGTACTGGAATGGCCTACTAAGTCACCTGACCTAAGTCCAATTGAACTTGTGCAGAACTTGGTAGGAAGAGAAGTTAGAGACAAACAACCTGCTCCCACGACTGTCCAGGAGCTCAGAGCTGCCCACATCCAGGAGTAAGATGTGCTGCCCCAGCAAGTCATTCGGAATGTCATCAGCATTATGGGAAACAGATGCAGAGAAATAATAAACAATAGAAGAGGACTACAGTCTCATTTTATTAAGTTTATCCATCTTAATAAGTTATTTTTTCTTTGATATTTCTGGATATTGGCATTTTTCGTTAATTTTGCTTTTTTTTTTTGTTACTTGTACATGAATTCTTCGACTTGCTTGGTATTTGTTATGTGTGATATTTATAATAAACAAGTTCTGTCAGTACCGAACGTCTCTCTGTGACTTCTTTTCAGGTTTTGAATAAATTATATTAAAACCTCAGTATCCTTTAATTTTTGAGAGTAGTTTATATAACAGGATGTAAGATTTATATTAGGATAGTGATTAGCGTTAATTTACATTGTATTAAAGCTGCATTAAAAAAAAAACAGGTATGAAATTGAAAGGCGAAAATTAATTAATTTTTTATTCTATGTATATATATATATATCTATATTATTAAACTATACGAGTCAGTCAGAATGTTCTATTTGTACACTGTATGCTAAAGGATAACACGAAAATGAACATGTTTACTAAAATATGGAAGTCGCCAAAATATTTAAAGAGTAAAACCTAAATTCTCTTAACTTTGACTAAGTCTGAAGGAAAGAAAGAGAGTGGACACAATTATACAGTGAAACAATCTTTAATTTCAATACTCACAAACACAATCAATTTCAAAGGGCAATTGTATTTCAGTACCTTTACTGAAGTGTTTCATTTCTCATGGTAATTTTCTGCGAGCTCTTTTGTTTTCAGTTGTGTTGTTCCGCACTGAGAGAACGTGACATTTTATATGGGAAGCAAAAATGTTATTCTTCTCATAGTGTAAACGTCATTCACGTGACTGACGACCACTCTTTTTGCAAAACAAGGGATTTTATATCCCTGGGCATTATTTGACTTACCAGTAGAAACCGTTAGTGTCGTTTTCTACATACTATGCACTATGTTGCATATATCTATTTTAATAAAAGAAAGCACATGTGATACCCTAACTAAATACTTAGTATGAGGAGCTTGAGTGAAAGAAATTTAGTGATCCCCTTCACTGGCCTTCTATACTATACATGCTTAACATGTACAGAAATTAAATATATATATATATTAATTAAGAGGGTGGGAAATATGTGGTAAGCTTGTACATCCAAGAGTCGATGGATCGCGTACCGTTTTTGCAAAAGTGTGCTCCACACTTTGGGTCTGTGTATGTGATATAAGAGCAACAAGCAAATCCAACTATTTAATTAGAGTAGTCCAAGAGTCGCAGGTGGGTACTGTTGACTAGATGCCTTTCCTCTATTTTATCAGTTCAAAATTAGGGATTGCTTGCGCAGAGAACCCATGTGCGCAAATATTCGAACAAACTCTCACCAATCATACATTATGCTAATTAGGCAACTAAAGAAATGAAGATTTTTTTCTGTAAAACATTTTTACAAAGTCAATGGCCCAATGTATCTAATGAAAGCTCTAGTCTGTGATTAGAGAGACTTAACATTCAATTTAATTTTTTTTATGCACATCGTAATGAAGAGAGAAGTTCATTAGTGTGGAATAATTTCCAAATTTAATAAAATAGTATATATATAATATTGAGAATTAATAAATTCATGTTTCAAAGTTTCTTCCACTTCACTTTTGGTTAGGTAAAAAGTACAAACATATCGAACAAATTGTAATGTTATGTAGTCTAATAATATCATTATATATTTAAATGACGATAAGTATTGTTTTCACGTTTGAAGGTGAAAATGAAATATGCTTCATAAGACCTGCACGGCATATCTAGAAATGACGAAATACCATATTAAATATTATGTTAGAATAAATAGCACTATGTACTTCCGATTACTGTTAGTGCTGAATCACCCTAGACAGGATATGCATTACTCCATTGCACACAATATTTGTGAAATGTATATCTTTTGAAATCCAATTAATAAATACATGTTACAGTGTTATTAGTAATCATAAAAGGCCATCCAGTGCAATTACACGTTATCACTGCGGTTCTATATAGTTCGTAAGGATACACAAGGTGACAGAAAAGGTGTTTACATACTGTAGTTATCGCACCTCTATATTTTCTACTGTATTTGCATACTGAGAAATATTATTTGATAAAACATGTGCACGGTTTGTATAGAATCCTGTAACTCTTGGTTTGTCACGTGAACAAAAATCCACATTTATACCACGTAAAATAAACACATACAAATTGATATTTTCATCTTGAAAACAAAGAAATTACGTTAGTTTTATCGCAAATTAACACTTAAATACGATACCTGAAACATATATTTTCAAAACTGTTTTATAAAAAATATTTTAGTATTTATATTAATAAATAATTTAGTTTAAAATTCCACTGTTTCAAGATTAGAACTACCACATGGTGCACTTGAGAACTGCTTTTTAAACTAAATAATTGTAGGCATAGAGATACTAAATACTAAAATCATTGCAAGCTTAGTAGAACTACGTAATCCACGTGAATACTACTGTTTTAACCTCAATTGTTGCATAGTATTGAATTACACTACACGTGAATACTGTTGCAAAAGTCAATTGTTAAGATGGTACGAACGACTTTTGCTGGCAGAGCGTGATTATAATAAATTGTATTTTTCATAAAGCAATAGTATTAGTGTTACTGTATTTTTATGGGTTTTTTTTAAATCAAGTAATACATAGGTCTCTACATCATTGGTTATATTTTCAGTTTTACTTTTCCTAAATAAATCTGTAATATACTCACGAAACAGCAGTGTACTTACCGCCGTGTCTCCATACCGAAAACGTAAAAGCGTTAACAGAAAACAGGACAATACCCACATCAAATGCATTTTATCCGTCACTTCTCATCGAAGGAAAAATAGTTATGCTTGCTTAGGCCACCAAACCAGACTAAAATAAATTTTCTCGAGCCGTCCTACGAATGAACATAATATAATTACAACATTTTGTTCTTCCGAATGTTGTGCTTTAAACACCTTTTAAAGTAAAGGTAGTCTTGTTCAACTATATCTTGGAAGGAGACCAAATCCTAAAGAATATTAGGCGATTTTGTCTGTTCTTTCGACTTTTCTCTATCACTAATAAAAGTCTTCTTGAAAGATTTGTGTGTTGAAAAGTTTACTTTCACTTTGTTCAAGTCTGTAGATATGAAAATTGCAGGGATTATGCTTAGTTGCTTTGCGATTTAGTTATATCTCCAACGAATCAGTGTATAGATAGATAATTAAAGTTTTTTTTTTTCTTAACGGTGAACGAGATACAATTCTATTATCCAATGAAAATAAAACATTTCTGATTTGTATTTATCATCAGTAATAATCTTACTTTTATCGAACTGAAAGAGAAATCTCAAGAACGTCACATGACACGTTAGAACATTTTTTTGAAGCTAAAGATTTCTAAAGTTCATTTATCAGCCAGTGTACTACCACGACAGGCACGAGGCATTCTGCACATGTGTATGTCATTTAAGTGTGCATAAACACGGACTACTACATATGTAAGAAGTTGGGATATTCTTAGAGCTGAAAAAAATCTTCATCTCTAAATTAGCCATTATTTTTATGCCTTTTAACGTTCCTTCAACACAAGGGGCTAAGACTGAAAAGGTGTAGAATGTCTATAGGCCAGAGATATCGCGAGGTTTTTCAAGGCCGGAGAACAGCAACAATTGCGAGATATGGATCGTTTGTGAGAGTTAGTACATGGTAAGTCTCTTATGTGTAAATAGTGCGTATAGTTACTTTGGACATGATTTGAGTTTTTATAAAATCCAACTTTATCAACGTTTCTAATATACAAAATTCAATATAATGACGAAATTTCATTACACAAAGTCACGCTGCAAAATGAACTTTCATCAATGATATATATATTAACTCTTTTTTTTGTTATTTTTCAGGTTATGCCTTATATTCTTTATTCTTAACATCGTAGCAATAAAAGCGGTAAGTACTTTTTGTACATTTATTTATATAATAGGTGAATCATTGGCGGTTGTTGATTTGGGGAAGTTTGTTTTTAATAAGGGGGCTTCAAGAAAAACTTATTGAATGTTAGGTGACAGGCAAATAACGTAAGAGAGCAAAATAGTACAATACATTAAAATAACAATTAATAGATAAAATTAGGAGTATCAATTAATTACACGTTATAATTGTTTATATTATGATTATTAAATGCTGCAATTTTTTGTTGCTGAATGATTGTCTTTAAATTGAATTATAATTTGAAATAACAATTGAAGACAGAAAAAGTAACAAAGGCAATGCTTAATAACAAAACAATTTTGCGGTTGACGAAAACTCTCAAATGTGACTGTATATTTAGATTTTACACAAGCTACTCCAAACTGAGAAAGCTAAAAAACGTAGATATTATGTAAGAAAGTTAGATTTTCAAAAAAAATTAGAATATTCACACTAATCTGAAAGGTCACAAAATTACTGTAATGGTTCCTGTCTATGTGTAATCAAAGTGGTTTAACTTGACTTCAGAGTAAATGAACCTGTTCAAGCCACAACTCATAGTGATACGACAAACCAACCATGAAGACCAAGTAGCTTTCCAAACAAGTCAGAGATAAAGTGGTATAGAAGCACAGATCAGAAGAAGATTACAAGAAAATTTCAAAGTCATTGATTATCCCTTTGAGTAAGGAAGAAGTGGAATGTGCTTCATACCACCCAGTCACTACTTATATCAGACCACCCTTCCAAACTAAGCAGCCGGGCAAGCAGAAAACTGGTCAAAGATGCCACTGTGAAGCCAACAGTGACTTTGAAATATTTGCAAAGTTTCATGTCTGAGATAGGAGTCGGTGTTCATACATCGACAATATCCCAGTCCCTACACAAAGCTGGCCTGTATGGGCGAGTGGCAAGAAAGAAGCCATAACTGAAAAGGAATCATCTTAAATCTCGTATGGAGTTTGCGACAAAGGATGTAAAGGATACCACAGACACGTGGCAGAAGGTTTTGTGGTCAGACGAGACAAAAATTTAGCCTTTTGGTCTAAATTCAAAGCGTTACGTCTGGCATCACACAGTCAACACCATCCCAACTGTCAAGCATGGTGGTGGCAGCATCATGTTATGGGGATGCTTCTCATCAGCAGGGACTGGAGACCTTATCAGTATTGAGCGGAAGATGGTTGGTGTAAAGTAAGGGCGAATCCTAGAGGAAAACCTGCTTGAGTCAACCAAGAATCTAAAAGTGGGTCGAAAATTCACATTTCAGCAGGACAATGCCCCGAAACACAAGAACAAAGCCACACTAGAGTAGTTTCAAAAGAAGAAAGTAAATCTCTTGAAGTGGCCCAGTCAAAGTCCTGACTTGAGTCCAAAGGAAAATTTATGGCGAGACTTGAAGATTGCAGTTCATCAACGACTCCCAGTGAACTTGTCAGAATTGGAGAAATTTTGCCAGGAAGAATGGGCAAACATTACACCATCCCATTGTGCAAAGCTGGAAGAGACCTATCCAAAAAGATTGACAGCAGTAATTGCTGCCTGAGGTGCTTCCACCAAGCAAATGTCAATATATATATATATTTTTTCGGGGTTTTGCTGACATTCAATCTCCTTCACACATAATAGTATTACGTTTGATCATTAGAGTTTTAAATAAAAAGAAGTTCATTAAATTGTTTTACATTATTTCATCAAAATTTGACATTAATGGTAGGGGGTGAACACTTTTTCAAGGCACTATATTCTAGTCGATAGTGTGTTATTAACTGCCATTTTATACAATATTAGTAAAAATTGTTAATTTAAGAAGGAGGAATAGGGATCGTCAAAAATGTACAGAAACAAGTTAAATCAAAATGCAAATATAATTTTTCAAGCCTACAAATAAGGACTCTTAAAAACATAAGCAAACAACGCTAGAAATAGTGTTTACATTATTTTTTCAAGCTACAAATCCCTATTTTGACTCCATATTTACAGTACTTATCAATTTGAGTGGAGTCAAAATAAGGATTTATAAGTTAAGAAAATAATGTAGACACTATTCCCAGCATTGTTTGTTTAAATTTTTAAAAGTCCCTAGTTCTTGGCTTGAAAACATAATCTTTGCATTTTGATTCAACTTGTTTCTCTACTTTTTGACGATCCCTATTATTCCCTTTTAAATTAACAATTTCTACTAATCTTGCTTAAGTTTTTCAATGTCTATTTATGGAGAATATATCTTAAGCTACATACCTGCATATACGTTCAGTTGAATGTTACATGTTTTTCAACAGTTTACTGCTGCATTGGCATTTTTTTCCACACACCCAACCACCAAACTGAACTTATTCAAAACAAATAACAATTATACAACAAAGAATAAACGCATGTACTGATATGCAACTACAATAAACAAAATGTAAAGTTGTTCTCAAATGACCATTTTGAAGGCAAAGATTGTATCATCACAAATTCAATGATCGGCTTCCATCAGTGTCACAGTGTAGTGTAACAAAAGAAGAGCAGCAACAAAGCATTCTCATCAGAACAGAATATTGTTTCTTCCAAGATAATACATCACAGATTAACGCAATGTAAACAGACTCAGTAACATGCTTACTTTGTAGGGTCTACATGACACATATGTATATTTTTCAACAGGCTGCTGTGCACTAGTATTTGCTGGAATAAGGGATACAAATAATGCATGCAAAATAGACAACAGTGTCACACTTAGCATAAGTCGCCAATTATCGACAACATTTACAATCGCTACGGTAACATCAAGTATTTAAAAATAGCAATATGAAATAGTACTATATGCTGTGGTAATAAATACTGAATATGCACTCACGATTTCAGCTAAGTATAACAGTAGAAAGAATCACCACGTATCTGAGTAGGGAAGTCTACTATGGTAATCGTCCAATGTTAAAAAATTGCTGAAATATAGTCGCGGAAATCCACGTAGAGACAGCAAACACAAGTAACGATGAACAATAGCGACTCGAGTAACGATATGCAACAGCAAAATCTGGAACCTTTCACTTGGCAGTTTCCAATGAATGTGCTAGAAAATGCACGAGTTGTAGTTTACAATCAACGCACATGCTAGGAAAACACTAGATTTTTTGATAGCAGAAAGTGAAAATTAAGGAGATCAAATTAAATTTAAAAATACTCTTTCAGTTTTTTGCAAAATTCCTGTGCGATCCTATACTAAAGTAGATATCACTTGTAATAATTTTATTGTGGAGTCATAATAGGGGTTTATAGCTTGAGCAGACTGTAAGTAGTATATCTCCAACCTTGTTTGCTTACTTTTTTGTGATCCCTATTTGTAGATTTTAAATTCTCAATTTTATATAATCTTGTATGTTGGTTTTGATAATGCACAGCTATTAGCAAATGTATGCCTCCACTAAGCATGCATAACAGTTTATCAGTAGAAAAGCAGCCTTTTCAAATAAAATAAATACGTCTAAAACATCGCTTTAAATAAAGCTTCGTGTCTTTTAAGGTAATTATTTACTGAGCTGGTGGCTTTGTGCCTGAGGTTTTGTATAAACACGCGTCGAGTACAAAGGCAGCAGCTCAGAACAACATCGCATCTATTATGTTTATAACCATGTAAATCAACATTTAGTGAAAAATAATCAACTTTTGAATAGGTCATGGATATTCGTAGCGTTTCATATAGTATATCAGTCTAGGTTTTATGCAAAATACTCTGCCGATTGTGCTGTAGGTTTGTGAAACAATAATGTTAATAATAATAATAATATGAACAAATTGGCATATTTTGATTTTGTTTAACAATCGTAAAATCACTTATCTTGCTTATTATCAATGTTTGGGTAATCTTCTATATTGAAAAGGAAGGTTTCGAGTGTTGTTTCAAATTTTCAATCGTACATGCGAGTTAAAAGAACGATTACAGAACATCTCATTCGTTCATTCTGAAGAACTCCATTCTTTAAAGTACGGAATTAACGAACATAGTTTCTTAACATTCTTTCGCTAATGCCAGAACATCTCGTCGTTTTGGACTAACGAAAAAACTCTGTATTCCTTTCACAGTTCAGTAGCATAGGTGTGGGATAACTAATACATTTAAAGCACCATATCTAAAGTACTGAAAGGCCTTTTTAAAATCTTTACACCGAAATTTGCTGTTTTACAAATATCGACTTGAGACATTTCAAATACATTGCTGTTTCCTAAGCTAGAGATTAAAAACATACTTGCTGGAAAGGAGGTATATTTTTGTTAAGATGCCTTGGATTAGAAAGAGTTTCGGAAAATACTGGGGTGTCTGTCGGCCCCTCAGAAGTATCCCTGGCGTGAATTATACTCTTTTAAACGACTTACAAATCGAACAGCGTTTGAAAAGAGAAAACTTGAATTATTAAACTGCTTTCGTTGCAGATTTGATTGTTTTTGTTTGCTTTGAATTTCGCGCAAAGCTAGACATCACCACCCACCGCAAACTCTTAGGCAGATCTTTTACCAACGAATAGTTGGATTGACAGTCACTTTATAACGCCCCCACGGCTGAACAGGGCAAGCATGTTGAGTGGGACGGGGATTCGAACCCGCGATCCGCAGATTGCGAGTCGAGCTCCCTAACCACCTGGCAATACCACGCCTTGCAGATTTGATTCCGGACTGTTTTTCATTCTGGTGATAGATCCGACACTTTCTTAACTTAGACGTACGAGGCGCATGCCTAGTCATGAATTAATGTTTACCTTTCTGTAACCGATCAAAGTTGTTTTCGAACATTTTTATAGACACTAAACGGGCGTACCGCAGTTGAAAATAGCTACTCACAAATCTTACTCAGAGATTATCATCACGTAAACTCCCCAGTGGCTAAGTGGTAAGTCTGGAGATTTATAACACTAAAAACCGAGTTTCAATATCTGTGGTAGGCACAGCACAAACAGACTATTCTGTAGCTTTGCGCTTAACAACAAACAAAAAAATCA